GTATGGCGATCCACAGAGACAGCATCGGAAACAGCAGATTTTCAGAAGTCTTGTACACCGCTTTCAAGTAGTATTTTTGCAGGAAACCCACGGGACCCAAGAAGATCTTTCCTCGCTGGATCGTGACGTGCCAGCTCACACGCACTTTGGCTCGTTTTGCTCTTCTGCGGCGGCGGGAGGCGTTACCATGTCTATTGATCCTTCCCTACTCCAGCTCTTTCAGGACATCCACGTTGAAAACATTATCGATGGACGATGCATTGCAGTTACGTTAACAGGCGAGAAAGGCACGTTGCAATTGATTAACTTTCACCTCGACCCCACCCTCTCCGACGTTGAGAAGGATCGTGTGATCCGCACTGTTGCTGCTCACGCTCTGCCTGCTGATCAGGCCACTGTCATCTTGGGAGGCGATTTTAACTTCTTGGAGGAGGGGGAGATGAGGACGTTCACAGACGGAAGGGAACCCACCCCTGAGAGGACTGCTGTTCTGCATATGTTTTCTCGGGTTTTCGGACACCTCGCTGAAGTTGCCCAACAAGAGCCCACTCATCGGTCTGGGAGGAGGGATGACGGTGCGCTTAGCCTTGGACGCTTGGACAGGTTCTACATATCTTCTGCCACCACCGACATTCTAGATGCGACTCCACGGAGCGGAGTCATAGGTCTTGCTCATGATGTCGCCCAGCCGAGCGACCATATTCCTGTCTGGCTTCAGTTTTCGCCTGGCGGCAGAACAACCCCGACGATCCCCTCCTGGATTGCCAAACACCCTGATTTTGGTACTGAAGTTGAGGCTGCCATTGGTTCGGTTGAAATGCCCAGGGACCCGTTCGAATACCTCCTGTCCGTCAAAGACGCGATCTATGTTGCCAAGGATGCTTTGATGACTCGCATGTTCTTCCGAGGCCCCCACAACGACGCGCAGAAGTTATCGGTCTACCTTAAGTTTCTTCGGGCTGTTCGGGATGGCAAGTCTTGGGACATTCGGAGGTGTATCCAGGCTATTCCTCATCTTAGTCTACATGTTCATGCTGATGAATGTTGTTTTAGAGATTCGGTGTCATTTTATCGTGAAATGGCCGAGCTTCAGCACTCTCTTCTCCAGCGAGAAATTCGCGAACACGTCGAAGGCGGCGGAGCCCCCGACGACGATCGAGGCCTCAGGTTGCACCAGCTTCTGCGACAGTGGTCTCCCAAAAGGCGCCGTATTGTTCTGGTTTCCGTCCCCGACCCCACCGGGTGCCCTTCGCCTGACCTGGAGGTCAGTGCTCAGAATCTTGCGTCGCACTGGGGGCGGGTCCATAACGCGAAGCCTCAGGACAGGGGATACCACTTCCAGAAGACACTGTTGAGCAGTGAGATTCAGCAGGTTGCCCCAGGTATCGAGTGGACGCTCGACCTGCATAGCTTCATAGGTAAGTTCGTCGGCCGCAAGGACAGCGCGACTGGCCCCGACGGCATCCCATACAGTGCATGGCGGTTCGCTGGCGACGCCGCTCACAATGCTTTGTATCAAGTTTATCTCGCTATTTTGGACAATCCTACATATGGGCCCCCACATAAAGGCTTCAACGAGTCCCTCACGGTGTACCTCCCAAAGGCCATTCACCCGCACGAAGCTGGAACCTCTGAGATCTCTCGGGAAGCGTCTGTGGTTCGCCCTATTGCCCTCAGCAATACTGATAACAAAATAGTATCCTTGGCCATATGCGAACCATTTAGCCAGCAATGCCAGTACAGCGTCCTAGGCTCCCAGACGGGCTTCGTGCGCAAGAGGTCTATGCTCGACAACTTGCTCTGCCTTGAGGCAGACATTCTTGAATATGCCTGCTATCGTGGCATGCCGCACGCAGGGCTGCTCCCCTTGGATTTCCGCGCCGCGTTCCCGTCGCTGCGCCACGACTGGATCATAGATGTGTTAATCATGATGAATATTCCCATGTATATCGTGAATGCCATTCGGTTCCTATACACAGGCATCTACACACACATATGCCTAGCAGGCAAAAAGTTTCCAGGCTACTCGATCACCCAAGGCATTAAACAAGGATGTCCACTGTCGGGTGCATTATTTGCATTATGCATCGACCCGCTGCTGCGCCGATTATCTAACTTGCTAGCTCCAGTTTGTGCTTCACCCCGTGCCTTTGCAGATGACATCCAGATCTCGGCATCCAACCTGTTGCTAGCTGTTCCGATTGTGCTGAGGAATGTTATTAGGTCAAGCCGATGTACTGGCCTGCTCTTGAACCTTGCCAAGTGTATGATCGTGCACACGCAAGAGATGCCAGATGACCAGCATTTCGCCTTATTCGAAACTGTTCGCACTAACGTTCGCTCGCTCATGCACGGCACCAGTGGCAAAGTCTTGGGTGTTTTCCTGGGCCCTGGTGGTTACAAGAAATCCTGGTCCGCTCCGCTTCAGAAATATATTTGTCGGGTCCGTCATGTTCGGTCGCTTCGTCTTGGGCTTACTCAGAGTATTTATGCATACAATTCCCTGGCCTTCTCGGTCCTCACCTTCGCGATGCAGCTATGTTACATATCGCAGGATGCGCTTCGCATGGAAACAAAAGGATTGCAGACTCTCACCGCGTGCCCGTTTTACAGCATTCCTACTGATCTCCTCCGCAATCTCTCGTCGGCGCTGCATTGGCCCATTGCCCCGCGCAACCTCGCGCTGGAGAATCAGGCTGCCATGTATCGGGTCGCTGTTCGATCCAAGGTTTTTGACAGCATTCGGAGGCGATTTCACGAGCTTGAGGAAGATGACTGGGATGTTCTTATGGTCAAGCGGTTCCCGACATGGCGTGCCGAGTCCATTGTTTTCCATCTGATTCACAACTACGAGCGTCTAACAGCCCTGCCGTGGAACCACTTCGATGAGGACACTCACGAGTTGCAGAAACAGATTTTGAAGAAGTTGATTTCTGAGGCCCCCAGTTGCTCCGCGGTTTTTCTCCTGGGCAATCGAATTCGTTTCGCTTTTCCTCTGGTTAATGCCTCTAGTATCGACCTTGCTGTGCTCAGGCTCAGAATTGCCTGCACGCGCGTCGGCCCTTTTGTGGCTGCTGCCATTCTCAAAACCATCTGCAACGCGTGGGCGACCTCTGCCAGGTATAGGCAAGGCCGTCTTACCTGTCGCTTCGGCTGCCGAGCCGCTGGCGGCGACCACGTCCAGCATTATTTCGATTGCCCTCATGTTCTGAGCCTGCTTCCCTCTGTCCTGCCCTCCCTGCCAGCCGAATATTTGAATCAGAGCCTCGATGCGCGTATGCTGTGCACCATGCCATGCCATTCTAGTCAGCAGTTGTTTTCTTTGTTTCTCGTCCACGACCTGCTCTTTTCCACCTTTAACTCCTTGAGGAGCTCGCACAGGTACGGGCCCGAATGCCTGCTGCCTCTCCTGCGCGCCCGCGCCCGGCACATCGCCAAGAAGGGGCGCGTCGTGCGGAGCGTCCTCACCAGGAGGCCCGCTGCAGAAGGCAGCTGAACGGCCCGTCTCTCTGACTCGCCCAGGGGAGTGCGATCATCATCATCATCATCATCATCATCATCATCATCATAATCATCCTTGTCCTCCTCCTCATGATCATCCCTGTGCACCTTGTCCTCATCATCATCATCAGCATCATCATCAGCATCAGCATCATCGTCGCCGTCATCATCAACATCATCATCATCATCATCATCATCATCATCATCATTATCATTATCAGCAGCAGCAACATCCGTGTGCTCCTTGTCCTTCTCCTCCGCCTCCTCATCAGCATCATTATCATCATCATCGTCATCATCATCATCATCAGCATCATCATCATCGTTCGCATCATCATCATCATCAGCATCATCATCATCATCAGCAGCAGCACCACCACCACCACCATCATCATCAGCAGCATCATCCTTGTCCTCCTCCTCGTCATCCTCCTCCTTGACCTCTTCATCATCCTTGTCCTCCTTCTTCGGGGGCAAAGGCGCGGGGCAGCACGAAGGGTGGGGCAGAAGCACGTACACTCCCTCTTCTAAATCCATCGGTTGTCGGTTGCGTCCCTGGTCTCGTTGGTGTGGCCAGGGCAAGTTGGGCCACGAGTCAAGGAAGGTCGCAGGCTTTACCTGGATCGATCGTCCATATATTTCATCGTCTTCCTCGGCGTCCGTCTCATGTTTCTACTCTTCGTTCCTCCTCCTCCTCCTCCTCATCATCATCATCCTCCTCCTCCTCCTCCTCCTCCTCCTCCCTCGGCCTCCTCCTCCCTCGGCCTCCTCCCTGTAGTATCTTCTCCTCGTCGTCGTCCGTCGTCGTCCTAGAGGGCCCTCCCCAGCCGCCTTGTACCAGTCGTGATTGCCATCGCTGGTACGGCGGCTTGGCCATTGCTCCCTCGACCGCCCAGAAGGACATGGTCTGCGGTCGCGGCGCCTTCCACAGCCTTTTTGGCCCAAGCCGCCGGGGCGCGCTGCCAGGGGGCCCCGTCCCTGCAGGCAGGAGCTGCCCCCCCCCTCCGGGAGCATGAGCCAAGCTCCAGAGGGTCTGGTGGTCGTTCCCTCCTTCGTCTCGGCCGCGGAGGAGGAGGCGCTCGCGGCGGAGGTCCTCTCTGCCCACGGCGCCTGGCTGGACAAGTCGCACCTGAGGTTCAGCAACACGCGCCAGCAGGAGTCGGGAGACGTCAACTATCCGATCTGGGCCTGGCCCACCCGGGGCCCAGGATCGGTGCATGCGCCCTCCCGGCTTGGCCAGGGAGGCATGAGCGCCGATGCTGGGCACAGGAGGGGCCCGGAGCGGTGAGGTGGACAGCTGACGTCCCCCGGAGGAGTACGGCGCCTGCATCTCTGACGCCATGGAGGTGACAGGACGGGGATAGGACGAGGCTAAATCCGTACCAGAGAGCTTCAGAACGCTCTCAGAGCGCTCCGAAACGCTCTCTGAGAGGGCCGCGGCGCCCGAGGCATCCTCCAGAGCCGTGGGATCTCAGAGATTCTCGGTTGATCCTCACCCGATGTTATCTTCGTTGATCCTCATCCTGCTCGGTGTATCCCCACTCGGCTTAACCTATCGAGAAGAAACAACACAAAAACAAACCTCACCCGATGTTATCCTCGTCCTGGCTTCGCCTGAGGTGGTGGACGGGGGGAGGGCACCCCCTCTGCCGCCCGCCTTCCGCCGGCTCGCCGCCCGCGTGTCGGCCGAGGCTGCGCGGCAGGGGCTGGGCGGCGCCGCCGGTTTCGCCGCCGAGGCGCCCCTCCCGCTGCTGATCATGCCTCCCCCTCCTCCTGCTGCTCCTCCCCCTCCCTCCTCCTGCCCCCTCCTGCCCCTGCCCCCTCCTCCTGCCCCCTCCTGCCCCTGCTCCTCCGCCTTTCTCCCCCCCTGGGGTGGGCGGCGGAAAGCAACAGGGTCGATTGCGCCAGCATTGGCGCGTAAGCTGCCCGCTCGGTGTCGCGCGTCGGCACCCCTGTCTCCAAGGTAGCGTGTCGCGCGGCCGGCCCGCGTGAGCCACAGCGTAGGGTCGCCGTGTCATCTCGCGTGAGATCCGGTTTTGGTCGTCATTCGGCTGGCGCAGGTGGTTTAGGTCGTCAGAGATGATGAGCATTCCCGGCCTCCTATACCTGCCACTGGGGATAGACCTTGGGAGGGGCGATTCGGACGAAGTTCTCTTGTCGCCAAGTCTTGACCCGCTTGTAGAGTTTGGCTTGGTGCAGCACACAGTGGGAAAAATTCCCCTCCCTACCCCCGTCTTTCTCATCTCCCCCTTCCTGCTCATTCTCCTGGAGGGCCAGGGCTTCCTCCGGGTGAATCACTACATGGCGGAGGGGGGCGGCTATATGCACAAGCACATGGACTCGCAGAAGTGCTTCGGGCCAGTGATCGCCTGCTGCTCTCTGCTTGCCGACGCTGGGATGACTTTCTACGACACCAAGGGCAATTCTTTCGGTATGGCCCGGGTGCACCGCACCACCGAGGTCTCCATACCGAGGCGATCGCTGTATTTCATGTCGGGGCCAGCGCGGTTCCAGTGGCAGCACGGCATCCGGAAGGACCAGTGCCCCAAAGAGAGGATCTCGCTGACATTCCGCACGGCGGGAATTCCCTCTTCCTTTCCCTCCGTCTCTTCCCCCCGCATCGACCATGCTTCTCCTCATCTTCCTCCTCGGTTGGGCACGCTCCTCCTCCTCCTTCTCCTCCTCCCTCCTCCTCCTCCTCCTCCTCCTCCTCCTCCTCCTCCTCCTCCTCCTCCTCGTCATCATCATCATCATCATCATCATCATCATCATCATCATCATCATCATCATCATCATCATCATCATCATCATCATCATCATCATCATCATCATCATCATCATCATCATCATCATCATCACCATCATCACCATCATCCCCCTCCCCCCCTTCCTCCTCCTCCTCTCCTCCTCCTCCTCCTCCCTCCTCCTCCTCCTCCTCCTCCTGCTCCTGCTCCTCCTCCTCCTCCTCCTCCTCCCCCCCCTCCTCCTCCTCCTCCTCCTCCTCGAGGTGAGGGAGGACGCCCCGCGCGCCCGCGCTGCACGCGCGGCCGACAGCCGCCGGGCGCCCCCCAAGCAGGCTTCGAGGAGGCAAGCGGTGCTCAAGAGGCCGGCGGGCGCGGCCGCGCCCGGCCGGCCAAAGGGCCCGCGGAGGTGACGCTAGGGGGGCCTTGAGCTGAGCTGAGCTCGGGCCGAACGAAAGGGAGGGATAAGGAAAGGGGGGGGGGGTACGAAGTCTGCTGCATGCAGCTGGCTTCGGCCCCGCCGCCGGGCCCATTCCTCGATGCGTGGGCGCCTGCCGGCGCCGGGAGGCTCGAAAAGAATCGGCCACGTGAGCCGAGTCTCTACCCTACTCCTTCCTATCCCCCCCTGTCGTTCCCCCCGATGAGCTCGCCGAGCTCCCGCAGAGGCAGCTCGCGCGCGAGGGCGGCCCCTGCGCGCCAGGCTCCCGCGGGGCGAGGGCCGCGAGGGCGGGGCGCGGGCGCGCCCTCTCCCCGGGGTGGCGGGGGGGGCCTCCCCCCGGGAGAGTCCGGGCGGGGTGCGCGGCTCCCGCCCGGCCGGCCGAGGGGCGGAGCGCCTTGGGCCGCGAGGAATCGGGGGCGGAAAAGAGGGGGGTGATGACTTGGGGGGGGGGGGGATATTCCCTAAGGGCTTGTCGACTTTTCGCCGATCGACTTGTGGGGAGCGAGCCAGAAAAATCCAGGTAAATGCAGATAAATCGAGGCAAATCCAGATAAATCCAGGCAAATCGAAACAAATCCGGGTAAATCCAAAGATCTCCGAGGAAAGGTGAAGCAACTCGCGGCCGCTCCAGCGCGAGTCGAAGGACGGCAGAAGTCGTTAAGCCTTTAACGAGATATCATGGCGGGGGCCATGATATTTCCCCAGATTTCATGGCGCCTCTTCTTAGTCCATTACGTCCCTGGCCCCCCCGCGGGGCCGCGCACATGCCGCCGGTCATGATTTGCACCCCCCCCCCTCTTGGACACCCCCTTCTTGGCCGCTCCCGAATGAATTGTAGGTCGGGCATGTCCCCTACAGGCGGGTTTGGAGGCGAAAAATAGAACAGATCCAAAAATGATCCAAAAGAGTCACAAGCATAGTCGAAACAGAGATCGTCCCCATATTTCTATTTTGCTATGTTTGAAGATTCCTCCTGTAGAGGGGCACGCACGACTTCAGAGTAATTGGGGGGGCGATGGATGAATGGGCAGCGAGGGCTGCAGAAATGGGGCACATGAGGGCCCCGAAAGGGGCCCCTTAGAGCCCAGAGAAGGTGGCCTTTGGGGCCCGAGAAGGGCACCGCTCCTCGCCCCACCCATCTATCGCCTCCCCGGAAAGCGACGCCCCAGTGTCTGCAGGGGGGGGGGGGGGGGCGCGCCCTCCGCTGAAGCGGCGGTGCGCCTCGCGGCGGGCCGGCGGATCCCTGCGCGGGGCCGCGTCGCAGCGTCGAGGGGATCTGGCTCGGAGGATGTGGCCCCCCACACCTCGAGCTTCCAGATCGAAAGGTGCAGTGCTGTTGCTTGGCATCAAGTCGGGCCTGTCCCTCCACAGGAGGGATATTCAAGAATAGTCAAAAAACAGTCTGGGGACGATGTGTTGCCCATGTTTGAGAAGTTGACGCGTATTTTTCGAGTACTTCTAATTTTTCGCAAAATCCCCCTGTAGGGGGACAGGCCCGACCTAAGCCTGGCACGGGCTGCGCTACCATGGGTTCTGAGCCAGGCGCCAGGGCATCTTTGAGCCGGCTCGGCCAGGGCCATGGTCGGAGTGCGGCGTTTTTCACGAGCGGGGTGGAGCTCGCGAGTCACAGTTACACGTTCCCACTCCTCTGGGAGAGCAGGAAGAGGAGGAGGAGGAGGAGGAGGAGGAGGACGAGGAGGAGGAGGAGGAGGAGGAGGAGGAGGAGGAGTAGGGAGGTGGCAGCCCGTCTCTCTCTCTCTCTCTCGCTCTCCCTCTCTCCTTCTCTAGCTGTGCTGCTTCACTACCGGCCAGTTTTCCCATCACTCTGGCGCCAGTCGTTTGCGCATGTGGTTGTCCCAGCGTCTCCGCCGTATCCAGCCGGAGCGCAGCTGAACCCACGGGGCGACGGGCAGCTTGTGATGTAGGCTCATAGGCTCTTGTTGTTTGCTGTCTCGAGCGGGTGACCTGGGGGCGCCCAGAGGAGTCCGAACGATTGTCAGGTGAAACTGAGGTCGCGTACTACTACCAGGGGTCTTCTTCGCACGCCACCAGGCTACCGCTCGCTACTCCTCGTGTGCTCCATCTCAGGTCCTCTTCCTCTTCCTCATCCTCATCCTGGTCATCATCCCCGCCACCCTCATCTGATCATTGCAGTCATTCCTCCTCGTGTCCCTCCTCTTCAGCCTCCTCACCATCCTCCCTTTTCTCCCCCTCTTGCCCCCTTTCGTCCTCCCTCTTCCCGCATTGTTCTCCTCCATGACCCTCTTTCTCCTCGTCCTCTTTATTAATCGCTTCGCTCATTCCGCCGGCCCTCGAGCGCTCTATGGGGCCTCTTTGAAGCCTCTTGGCGGCCTCTTGGGGGCCTATGGGCCTCTTGGGGGCCTCTTGGGAATCTCTTGGGGCTCCTTGGCGGCGTCTTGGGCCCCCCTTGGGCCTCTTGGGTGGCTCTTGGGGGCCTCTTGGGGCGGGGTAGTCGAGTGCACCCCCCTCGGAGGCCACGATCCTCGTGAGGGGTGTCGAAAAAAGGCCCTCAAAACCATCTCTGATCCGACCCTGCTGGGGATCGCCCGGGGTACTTTTCGCCGGGGGACCCCCAGGGGCCGCCCCGCGCGCGCGAACTAGAAGTATTATTATGCAGTTACCGGAGATCTTAGCACGCCTCTGGCCCGTTGGGCCGGCGAATTTTCCTCCCCTTCTCGCCTTCCGCTTCATTCCCCCATTCTCTCCCTCCTCATTTCCCTCATCCCTCCCCATCCTCCTTCCTTCGCCAGTTCCCCTTCCCCCAGAATTATCTTGGCGAAGGGCCCAACCATATGCAATTGTGAGTGCCGCAAGGCAGGTGGGACGAAGGAGGGGAGCTCCTCATGGGGTCACGAGACGTGTGAGGGTATGCCGACATGGGCGGGGCGGGCGTCTGTGATCACAGCCACTGGAGCCGCCAGTGGAGTTCTCTATGGGGCCATGAAACGCTGTGCTGGGCGGCGCGGACGCACGTGATCACAGCCACTAGGGCCTTCGCTGGAGCTGCCTATGGGGCCACGAAACGCTGCACTGGGTGGCCCGGACGCATGTGATCACAGCCATTGGGCCCTTCGTTGGAGCTCCCTATGAGGCCACGAAACGTCGTACCGTGCGCGCTGAAATGGTGGAAATGCGGAGGGCAGTGGCAAGGGTGGGAGGAGGGGGAAGAGGAGGGGGAGGACAAGGAGAAGGAGAAGGAGGAACGCGGGGCGCTGTCTCCTCAAAACGAGGACCCAACACCACAGGATGGTTGGGAAAAAGCTCGCGGGGCCCAGGCATCTCGCGTCGAGGGACGGACTGCCTCCTCGTTCTCCCCTTCCTCTCAGCCGCCAGCCGACCTCGAGCGACTGCCGTGGCGACACTCCTCCTCCTCCTCCTCCTCCTCCTCCTCCTCCTCCTCCTCCTCCCCCTCCTCCTCCTCCTCCTCCTCCTCCTCCTCCTCCCTCCTCCCTCCCTCCCTCCCTCCCTCCCTCCCTCCCTCCCTCCCTCAGGCCAGGAGGACGAGCGAGGAGGGAGACCGGGAGGCGGAGGCTCTCCTCGCCCTGCTTCTCCCCACCTGGTCCTCCTCGCGCGCACCCCAGAGGCGGCCAGGCCCTCAGGAGGAGGAGGAGGAGGAGCAGGAGGAGGAAGAATCAGAAGAAGAAGAAGAAGAAGGAGGAGGAGAAGAGGGAAGGAGGGAAAGGAGTACGGGGAGGGAGCAGAGAGGAGGGAGGAGGGAGGGAGGCAGGAGGGAGGAGGGAGGAGCAGAGGGAGGGAGGAGGGAGGAGGGAGGGAGGGAGGACGGAGGACGGAGGACGGAGGACGGAGGAGGCAGAGAGGGAGAGAGCGCGAGAGGGAAGGAGGGAGGGGAGGGGGGGAGGGGGGAGGAGGCAGGGGCGAGGAGAGAGGAGGGAGGGAGATGAGATGAGATGAGATGAGACCAATCGCGAAGCGAATCAAAAATAACACCTGGCCTGGCCTCAGTACACGAACACGCCGAAGGGGTACAGGACGACAACCCCGAACTGGTTCTTAAGCTGAGGCCACCATACACCAAGTAAATATTTCACATCTGCTTGCAATCAGGCTTGGACGGCAACGCTCCCGACATGCCAACAGATGGGGCGGAAGGCTCCGTGGCTGCCACGGCTGACAGCGCCGCCCCCGCCTCCGCACAAATCTTGTTGATCTCGTCGCGCTGGGCTGCCGCGATCGCCCGCCCATCGAGAGCGGCTCCGCCATGACTACCATGATCAGCACCACCCCCACGAGGAAAGAGCGCTCCCAGAAGAGGAGTTTTGTCCTCATAGGCAGCTCCACCAGCACGAAAACCACTGCCTGTTCTATGATGGCCTCTGGCTGCCGCCTCTGCAGCTGCCGTTGCCGCCTGCGCAGCCGTAGCCGCCTCTGCCCGCATAGCGGCGGCCTTGACCTCTCGAATCCTCTTGATCACATCTTCCACCTCGTCGGGCTCCTGCGAAATTTGAAACACTCCATCGCCGAAAGGCTCCCTCGCCGTATCCTTTTCACACACAAAGGTCCCAGCGCTGTAGCTGATCGCGTCAGGCTCAATCGTCGCCTCCCTGAACTCACACGCGCTGTTCCCAGAGTAATTGGTATACAAGGAGTACTGGCTAGGGATAACGGGCTCTATCTTCGCCTTCTTCTTCTCACATGCCCTGATCGCACCGCTGTAGCTGGTCACGTCGGGCTCTATCTTCGCATCCAACTTCCCGCACGCGCTATCCCCAGAGCTGTGGCTAGAGATACTATCAGGCTCCAGTTTCGCCTTCCTCTTCTCGCACGCCCTGATCGCAGCGCTGTAGCTGAACTTGTTGGGCTCTACCTTCGCCTCCAACTTCTCACACGCGCTGCTTCTAGAGCGGTGGCTAGGGATAACGGGCTCTAACTTCGCCACCTTCTTCTGGCACGTCCAGATCGCAGAATTGCAGTTGTACGTATCGGGCTCTGTCGTCGCCTCCGACTTCTCGCACGCACTGTCCCCTGGGCTGTGGCTCGGGATGACGGGCTCATGCTTCGCCTTTCCCTTGTCGTACGCCATGGTACCAGCGCTGTAGCTGATCGTGTCGGGCTCTATCATCGCCTCCCACTTCTCGCAAGCACCCGCAGAGTTGTGCTTAACCTCGTACTCGGGCGCGACGGGCTCCCACACGCCAGGGAAGACCTGCGACGGCAAGAAAGAACCGCCTGCCACCTCGCCCGCTCTGCTCCAGTCCCCTGGCGGCCGGGGGAAGGAGGTCTTCACGTCCCCTGCCGTCGCCTTCCACTTCTCGCACTCGCTGTCGCCCGTACCGTGGCTAGCAATGTCGGGCTCTGGCTTCGCCTTTCCCTTCTCGCACGCTGCTACTGCAGTACTGTAGCTGCTCATGTGACGCCCCTCCGGTTGGCACCACGCCTCCTCTTGGATCGTCGTCCACGGGAGGCCCCACCAGTCGAGCTCCACTTGGCGGCATGTGGCCAGCCGTAGCCTGCGGTCGGCGCGTCTGCGGCTCTTGCTGACCCCGGACCTGGGGGGCCACCCTCCTTCGCAGAGGGGCCCTCCCCACGCCTCGGCCAGCATCCTCACGCGCCGCCGCACAGCAAGGGGCTGGGGGCCATCGCTCCGCGGGCCGCGCGCCGCGGCCGCGCTGCGAGGCCACCTGAGAGAGGAGGGAGGGAGGGAGGGAGGGAGGGAGGGAGGGAGGGAGGGAGGGAGGGGCGGGGGGGGGGGGGGGCAGGCGAGGGAGGGAGGGAGGAGGGCAGGAGGAGCAGGAGCAGCAGGAGGGAGGGCCCGCGCGCGCGCCGAGAGGCGGCCAGACCCTCGCCAGCGCGCTGGGTGCCAGCACGGCGGCGGTTGCGGCCGCCACGGCCGCCGCAGCGTCCTCGGGCCGCCGCGGGAGGCACGTCGCCCACGACGTGTCGAGTCGTCCTCGGCCACCCTCCCGCCCGCCCAATGTTCTTCCCCTGTCCATCTGCCTGCCGTCCACCACTCAACGCCCGCCCCGCTCCCTTGCCCCCTGCCCTCCTCCCTCTCCCCCTGGCTCCTCCCAGGCCCCCCTCCCCCAGCCACTCCCTATCCCTTCTCTCTCCCTCTCGCTCTCTCTCTCTCTCTCTCTCTCTCTCTTTCTCGGTCTCTCCCTATCTCTCTCGCTCTCTCTCTCCCTCTTTCTTTTCTCTCTCTCTCTCTCTCTCTCACACTCTCTTTCTCTCTCTCTCTCTCTCTCTCTTTCTTTATCTCTCTCTCTCTCTCTCTCTCTCTCTCTCTATTTATATATATCTCTCTCTATATATATATAACATATACCCCTCTCTCTCCCCCATCGCTCTCTCTCTCTCTCTCTCCATTTGCCGTCCCGTCACTTTTCCATTCTCCCTCTTCATCTAATATATTTCCCTCCGACCCGAAGGTAAGTAATACTTGACCGTCCGCACGAGGCAGAGCTTAACAACAGGTTCGGAGCAGCCTGGAAAAGGTCCATAGCGCAACGTTCAGTTCTGACTGACCGCATGTATTCGCTCAATGCGTGGCGCCGCCTTTCCGATTGCACAGTCTCTTCGACAGCCTCATCTGGAAACGAAGCGTGGGTGGTCAAGAAGGGCTTGGAAGCCAAACTTCGCAGAACACCCGAAAGTGGTGAGGAGCATAACTTCGCAGCAAAAGGCGCAGGATACTTTCCGAACAGGGGGATTCTCGCTCATGGGTGGCAAATGTGCCGATGTCGGACATCGTGGAGGACACTTTGGAGCCGTGGCCGAACTGGATCAAACACACGACACGCGAGGCAGGAGAGAGATTGGGCAAACTACCATTTCGCGGTTGGGTTGAGTCACACAGGCACGCGGCGATGCGATGGCTGGCATGCGGGATGGCACAGACACATGAGCTCAGCATCGCTCGGACGTGTGTATTTTTCCTTCGGCGAGGGCCATCGAGGAGCATCCTTGATCATTTGGCGAAAAAACCACGCACGAAACCGAAAAAAACACAGGGAATGGACGTCCGAGCGATGGCCAGTGAGCGACGCACCAAAACGGGATCGTCGTATGCGCCGACATTTGGCGCGCAAGCCGCCCGCGCGAGGCCGCGCGTGAGCGCCCTCCTCCTCCTCTCCAGTGTGGCGTGCCGTGCGGGCGGCCCGCGCACGCC